CCGTTGTGAACGACCTTCAATTCACGGGGTTTGACAGGAATGATTGTATTACGTTATATAATCGACCCGTAATGCCATAACCCTGGATCTTGCGGAGAAGGCCGGCATGCCAAACCCTATCAAATGCTTTGGAGATATCTAGTGCCACGTGCTCGGGCTTCCCGTTATTTTGGAGAGTTCGGGTAGACTGTTTCAGTGATGGCTGTGAGCACATCGGTTGTAGATCTGGCAAAGCGGAAACCATATTGCTTGTCTGAGAGCAGATTATGGGATGTGAGGTGGTTAACCACCCCCGGTATTGATTAGAGTTTGAAGATTTTTGCCAAGAGGGAAGGAGACTGATAGGACGGAAGTTGGAAGGGTCAGAGGGTCGCGGAGTTCTTGAAGACAGGAACGATCAAGAGGACTTCCAGCAGTCAGGAAAACAAGATTCCTTGAGGCAGTAGTTGTATAGTTTTGAAAGGGCGGGTGCCAGTTCAGGCACGATTTTCTTTAAGACAATAGCTGGTATCCCATCTCCACCACTCGCCTTGTTGGGATCTAAATTGGAGATAACGCCCAGTACCAAAAGTTGGGGTTATGTTTAACCCACTCAATATGGCCTCAGTTCTAAGAGGGAAGTCGGGTATGGGTACACCGGAAGAGTCTAGGCCGAGTTGGATGAAAATTTTAAAAGCAAAGCATTCAGCCTTGTCGGTAGAGGAGGTCAAGACTTTGAACTGGTTGAATAGAGGAGGTATAGAGGGTTTGCAATTGTTCAATACACTCTTGCAGAGATGCCAATAATCTTTGGAGCCAAATTTGCGAGATGCAATCGTTCCTTCATTCGAGCCACAAATAGTGACTTAGCATCATTTAGAACACACCTTACATTAGATTACGGGCGGAGGCAAAGAGACATCTATTGCAGTCAGACATGTCGCCACGGTATAGGTGGAAGTAGTGGTTCCTATGGGCGATGGCGGCTGAGCAAGCAACCCGAGAACCAGGGGCAGGAGAAGCGACTTAACCCTATATTTCTTTTGATGGGATGAAAGCGTCGATTCCAGCTTTAACCCAGGAAGAGACCTCAAGCACATTCTTGGATGGGGAGCTTAAAGACTCCATTCCAGGGGACATCAGCGGAGGAAATCACGGAACAGCGTCCCAGTCAGCTCGTTGATAATAGAACAAAGTTCTAATGGTAGGAGGTTCTTTATAGGGGTGGAGTTAAAGGAGATGTTAACCGATACTACTGCATGGTCAGAGTTACCAAAAGGGCATAGTTGCGAGGCGCTGCAGGATTCGGGATGGAGGTAAAGCACAGGTCGAGTAGAGAGGCTTTACCTTCCGGTTGAAGGCAAAACAAAGGGGAAGTTAACTATCTGTGTGAGGGAATGGGAGATTGAAAAATTAAGCCTTTGAATGCCTGCATGGTCAGTAGTAGCATTCTTAAGCATTCAGAGTGTGATGGGCGTTAAAGTCTCCAAACACAAAAATGTGAGCAAACGGGTGGAGGGGGTGTTTCTTTTAATTGTTGATAATTCAATTTTTCTGATTTTTTTTTTTTTATTTTTACTAAATGTACACTTAATAGAAAATGCCCAAGAGCCACTCAAGGTAGAGAATGAATAAGGTTGTTGAATGAACGTAAGAGGAAGAAGTAAGATTATGGGATATTTTTTTTTATTATTTCACTCCAAGCAAGGTTATAATGCCACAAGTTACTGGGAGTGAAAGAGGAAGGACAATAAAAGAACACAATTTAGGAAGATGGTGATTGCATTTAAAGTTTTGAAAATAGTAGGTGGCAGGAAAGCAAGAAATTTCCACAGGTGACAATGGCAAAAGAAGAAACTATTTGAAATAGAATTTATAATTACATTTAACTATTTCAACAGTAAAACAATGAGGCCTTGTAGTCAATCTAGTACTGCACTTAAATTCATGTAGTCGAGGTACCAAGGAGGAGAGCTCATTAGAATAACTGCCATAAAATTATAGAAAAGACAGAGGGAAGCCATGTCACAGCAGATTGAATGTGACTGATGTCAAGATGCTAGGAACAGACCAATCTTTACATTTTGTCAAGAATCTCAAGGTATATAGCAGGAGCACCAGACCAGATATGGCAGCAATATTTAATGCACCAAGGAATGGTAGATTTCTAAATATGCAAGATGAATTCTGATGATTTTCTAGCAAGAGACAGAGAACCAACTTTGCTAGCAGAAAATCAAGCAGATCACTCCACTTTATAGAAATTGTCAACTAACATTACTTAAAATAGTAGAGAGTTGGTGTAATGCATTGGGCTTGTGTTGTAAGCAATAAAATTATAGTTTTTTTTAAAGTTGATGATAGCAAAAATGTAATTTTTTGGACAAGATATTTTTGAGTTGTACATGTCACAACAAAAACATTTTAAGCCAAAGAATATATTCATGCAAGATTAGAGAGTGAATGGACACAGTTAAAAATAAATAAATGACAGAACTGCCCAACAAACAGAATTGACAAAATTTCCAATAAACAATTACAAGAAAAAGAAAAGAACAAGGTAAAAATAATATAAAGCAAGCAAATAATATATACAAGGCAAATTATTAATAATATGACAAAAAATTCACAATCTAAGAATTGGGGTTGTTACATGAGCACATTTGGATAAACAAACATAGCCAGACTGGGACTTCATCATATGAAACCAACAAGTGGCCTATCTTATTGGCTAAAAAGAAATCCCACACTGCATTTGTGTGCTTCTGCTGATAAATTGGAGAGGGGAAAGTATTTTGCAATCGTCTCCAGACAGATTGGAACCAACAAAGACAATGATCTTTCAGATTCTGCAAAACTCCCTGTTGACCACTTTACCCCCCAAAAAGGTTTCAAAGACACCAAATTAATTGAGTGGCCTCCAGGCTCTGTAAATATTAATCCAATAAAAAACATGTAGTCCATCATTAAAAGAGACAAAAATAAGAATAGAAAACAATAATCAACTAAAGATACCTGAGAAGCAATGAAAAATAATGTTAAAGTTGGAAATTTTAAAAAAGTATGAGAAAGGAAAAGTGATGAAGGTTATAGAATGTCAACATATTAACAGCCCCATATTAACATGAAAATAATAAAATAACAATTTAAGTTGATAGAATATTATGTTAATCAAATATATCTTACTGTAGCCAATATCTCTAGGATTTATTTTAATAGAAATATATGTTGCACTGTGTTTGTATAATAAAACCTAATATAAATACTTTTACTTAGGAGAGATATTGTAGGTTGAAACTCACATGATATATATAATTTATATTAAAGTAAATATATCCTGAAATTTTTCTCAACATCAGTTGGTTAATTCCAGTTTTATTTTGAAAATATTAATTTGCATAATTTAGTCTGGCCTTGTGTATTTCATAAAAAAGAATTAGATAATCTTTCTATGCTAAAATTTGACAAGAGAATAATTTTTGCAAAAAAGGAAATATAAAATGTTTATACTGAGAAAAGTATATATTTATAGAAGAGTTCTATTTTGTGCGTCATTCATGCATTAATTTTGAACCAATGACAATATTTATTCTTCATGATTTTCAAAGAAACAAAATCTCATTTGCATGCTGAAAAAATTGTTGAACATATTTTAGGAAAAAATACTCTAAAATTTTATGGTTGAATAATCAAATTCCACTTTTAATCATTAATGTTACTCTTCAGTCATAGTCCTTTAAATCAGTAGCCCCCAAGCTTTTGCACCATGGACTGGTGTAATTCAAGTCAATTTTTCCATGGACCAGGGGTGAGGTGGTGTCAGTCATGTGCATAACAAAATGCAATAAACAAGTCTACAATAGTCAATAAAATGAAAAAAAAATTTATTCTGTCCAAAATGGTCCTTGACCTGGTACAAAATGGTGTACAGCCCAGTCTGAAATGGTCCACAACCCAGTACAAAATAGTCCACAGACTGGCACCAAACAGTCCATGGCCTGGTACCAAATGGTCCACAGCCCAGCACCAAACAATCCATGGCCTGGTACCAAATGGTCCATGGGCCAGTACCAAATGGTTCACAGCTCAGTACTATTCCACAACCCAGCGGTTGGGAACTGTTGCTTTAAATGATTTTAACACTTCATTTAGATTGTTTTTTTTAATTATTTTGCACCAAAAAACCACTCACAAAGAAATGGGATATTACAAATTCTTCTGTGAAGGAGGCCAAAACATTTTTTCCCTTCAAGTCAGGACTTTAAAATTTATACCTTGCAGAAGTTTTCAAGTAGAATATTAATAATTATCAGATAAACAGTTTTTTTTCTTAATTCGTATTGTATTCACATATTTTAATTCATGTTATACGTTAATGTATATTTGGGCAGCAACCTTTCTTTTAAACATCTTTCATTAAATATGATGGACAGGGAAAATTTTATTCATTTTTTTCTATTTAGTTTCCCCAGCTTTTTTAAATTTTTTCCATTTGGTGGGAGTGAAGGAGTACAAAAACTGTCCATACCATCCATTGTCCCAGGGCACTCACAGTCACTTCCTTAGCCATTTTCAAGGGGATTTTCTTTTGGTATTGTTACTTTCTCTTCATTTTTTGGCTGCTTGAAATGTATTTTTTGTGTTGTTTTGAATAATAATAGGAACATTTATTCTGAGACTTTTCATGTTGAGCATGATTGGAATTCGAGTGACCGTCTTTCTATTTTTTTTAAAAAAATTTCAGCATGCTACTCCCATTGTTAAACAAGTACACACTCACACATGTGTGTGTGCATACAAGTTAAATGTACAATAAAAATTTTGGTATCCACTTAGATGTCCTTGTAATTTTGCCTGCATCTCTATATATGTAATTATTAGAGTGAATGAAAGTTTTTAATAAATTCTACCTATGATACCATTTTTTCCTAGAACATTATAATATATAATATTGTAATCTATTTTCAAACATGTCTCTTTGATGACAGGTACAAAGTCAGGATGATGGAAGTGTTAGAAACATGACTGTACAGCTGATTCTGCTCCCTGCATGGTTCCAGCTTGTCATCTTGGCTGTTTACGCAAATCCAGCATGTAAGTAACTTCCTCTTTTATACTACCAATAAACTATGCACACAAAACATCCTTTACAAGTAGTAACTGTGTACTGCACAATGCTTTCTAAACATATATGGGAAATTAAAAACAAAAGCAATCACACCAAAAATGTTGATGAAAACAATAAATCCAAATACTGTAAACTCTTTTTGGTGGAGAAAATAGCTATAATTACCTTCTCAGTGATCAGAATTCATATCAAAATGCAGAAGCAAAAAGCAAATTTTTGCTACATTACTTAAAAATTAAAAACTAAAAACAAATGAAAATAAATAAAAAATATAAAATAAAAAATTAATAAATAAGCAAAATAAAATAACCCAATTCAATAAATATATAAACAAATTAAGAACCTATAATGCAGGCATAAACACAAGTAAATGTAATAATAACAATCTTCAGCAAATAATAAAGTATTCAATAATAATGAGTAAAAAACTTAGCAAACAGCACTATCAAATAGCCACAAAATTGCATTCCGATCCACAATTATTTCTACTCAATAGTCTCTATAGTAATTTAAAACATAATTGTTACTGCCCACCTAATAGCTGTTAGAATAATACAATAGACCTATCCATAATGCACCAGCATATATAGTCGAGCCAAAACACAATGCACATGGCCTGCAGACTGTGATTAAGCATGAAACAGACTGTTGCCACTAGCTGTTGATCTCAATGTCCAATTATATATTTATATATAGTTATATTAGAACATGCAAGTTACTACTACAAAACTGCATATTTTGTTTTGATGTTTAAACATGTCTCATCAGATGATAGTAATAAACAATGATAGTAATAAACGATTTTATTTAAAATTAAAATTTATGAAACACCACTTCTTTTTAAATTTTTGGAAAATTTTCCATAAAAGATGAAAAAATTTAATATTTATTGCTCTACTCTTGTATTGAGCCCTTTTTTAAATTGATGTTATGAACGTTTGAATTTTATTCTTTTCATTTTTACGTTTAAACATATATATGGTGTGTTTGTAGATAGATACATAGTATCCAATAATACCTCCATCAGATGATGATCCTAAGTTCAGAAATGGTTTTGGGGCCATGCCATCATTGAAAGTATATAAGTCACACCAACATTACCACATCATATCACCAGGCTTTGTTGTCTGTACACATTGCAAAAATTACAGGTGCAAGCAGATAAAATCTCTGCCTCAGTTTTGAAGCTTTGTCTTTATGTGTACATTTGTAGTTTCTTAATTTGTTTATTATTTACAAACACAAATAAATTTAATAATAATAATAATCAGCAACAAATAATTAAGTAATCAATAATAGATAATGGGTAAAAAGTTAACAAACAACACCATAAAATACCTACAGTATGGATCCACAATTATTTCTACTGAATAATATCTAGAATAATCAGAAACATAACCTTTACTGTCTACCCAATAACCATTTAAAATAATACGATAGACCTTATTACCCATAATGCACCATTGGTCAGCATATATAAATAGTTAAACCAAAACACATCCCACACAACCTGAAGATTGCTTTCTAGCATGAAACGAACTGATACGTGTTGGTGTTGACCTCAATATGCACTTTTATATTTACATACACTTTATCTCAGATATTTATCACTTTTACCTATAAATATAGCATACCATAAAGCTACATTTTAATTATATATATATATATATATATATATATAGTTATTTATTTAAAAATATATATATATAATTATTTATTTAAAAATATGATTCCATTTGGAATCATATTTTTAAATAAATAATTATATTTATGCTCTACTTTTGTATCGAGCACTATTTTTTTAAAATAATAACTAAAATACTAAGGGACTTTGGATTATTTACCTAACCAGTTCCTTCCTATTTTCTATATATTTTCACATATATATATATATATATACACTTTATTATAGCATATCATCGCAAAATAAAATAAATCAAAAATCTAAATAAATAAACAAATTAAGTAAATAATGAAAGATTTAACAAACTACAAATGCACACATAAACACAAGTAAATGTAATAATGTTAATCAACAATAAAATAATTAAGTAATCAATAATAAATAATGAGTAAAAAGTTAACAAACGATACTATAAAATAGCTTTGAATAATCACATTCAGTTCCACAATTATTTCTACACAATAGCCTATAGAATAATATAAAACATAACCTATACCACCCACACAATAACTATCAGGATAATACAACAGACCTTACTACCCATAATGCACCATTGACCAGTGTATATAGTTAAGCCAAAACACAACACATATGGCCTGAATATTGCATTCAAGCATTAAACAGACTGTCGGTGATTGATGTTGACCTCAATATTCACTTTTTATTGTAACATACGCATTATCTCTTGTATTGAGCACTTTTACCCATAAATATGGCATTTTGATTCAGATATAACAAATTTAGTTTTGGACATAAGGTTATTAAACATAGAGCTAGTTTTAACTGCCATTTGCTACAAAACCAAATATAAGAATTTGAAATTAATACTAAAGGAAGCTAACCCTTTACCATTCAAAGCTCAACCTTGAGATTGAAACTATTATTAATCCAGGACTCTGATTGGCTAACTGCTGTCCAATCAGAACCCCTTCTTGAAGCCACACAGTAAATTTAAACCTGAAATCTTCTTTTTTTGCAAAGTAATAGCTTTAGTAACCACACATTAAAGCTGTCCTTTCCAACATTAATGATGTCCAGAAGCCATAGGCTGCAAATCCTACTTGTTCCTTGTACACTCTTCAAGCAGTTAAGTCCACAAATATAAATTATATTTGCAAGCCTTTTACCTATTTGTCCATACAACCCTTTGTACATTAAACCTTCGGATTTAATACTGTTGTTGAGTTTGCTTCTCTTCGTCCAGTGTATTTGTCTTTGTCTTTTTGGAATTTAACTGCACCTGAGGAAAATTTTTATACAAAACCTAAAAACACTTAAATAGCCTAGTCAGATCAAAACTTTCATATGGATGTCATGCATGGCACCAAATCTATTCAGAAATATCTAAATTGTCAGTTATATACAGCTGTTTTCTGATATCAGTGGTTAAAAATGGTTTTGAGCGAATGAATCCTGTAGATCTGAGCGAGGGACATTCTTCTTCAAGGATGTTGGACTACCACAACAGAATCACAAACAAAGAACTGTACTAAATAAGAGAAATCACATCACTCAAGGACTTTCAACAAGAGTGTCAATTAAAATTGTTACTTGAAGATAAAATAATGACATAATCAAGAGATTGACAATCTACTCTACTTGAAATAAAAGATTAGGAAGGAAACCCCCATCACTACCGGAAAGAGTGATAAGAGTTACTGGACTTGAGAAATCTATTATCCTGAATAATTCTTTTAAGAGAAAGATTTTATAAATTTCAACAGAAAGTAGTACACATGGCTCAGCCAATGAATGTCAAATGTTTCTTGATAAGGAAACAGTTATATTAATACTACCATTACAAAGCCTTAATTTGCTTTCCATTAAAATTAGAAATAATCTTATAGGGATTCAGTTTCTGAATGCCTAATATTTGATGGACATATTAATTTTCAAAAAAGTTCTGTAACATTTGAGATTATAGTTTGTGTGTGTCCATGATCTTGATCATGATCCATGATAAGCATTTTTTTTTTCTCTGGGGCAAGAAAAATAAAAACAGATGACTAATAAAAACAATATATACTGATGTTTTGCTAATATTTTCTTTTAAGATAAAGAATAACAAATTTTAAGTTCAGATAAGAAATTAATGATCAAATTTTAATACCAATTTATGTGAGATAGTTTTCTCTATGAAATGAGAAAAAAGTCAGGTAAAGCAATTTCTCACAGGTGAAAGCCCAACTCAGAATCTTCAGTTTTATTTGTTTATTTTGCCTAAAATTTGTACCTGTTCTTTTGATCATCTTATGTAAATTAAAGGTAAAATTTTAAGAGAATTTGTTACAAAGTGATTTCATATTTTATCAGTCCAGCAGTAGTCATTTATTTTGTATACCAAGAGCTGTTCTACCCTTACTTCTTGGGCATTTATATAATCTATGCCTTAGCTATGCTAATTTACATATCACTACAGAATCTATTTTTATATCCAGAGTCAAATCAATTTACATCAATATAGGAAAATTTTAAAAAAAACAAAAAACAATTGAAAGTATGCTTGTTTACAGCCTGAAGTAGCAACTTGAATGGGTGCTTTTGAGTGAGCATTCCTCTATCGAGTAAAGATCTTTCAGATATAAAGATCTCTACTTTAACTTTTTATCTGATATTATTGACTTGTAATATTGAAAAATTAAAGATGAAACAAAAGAGAAAGACACAGACAGCTCTCATAGATAGTCAAATAGCAGAGATTGAATTCTACTTCAAGGAAAGGCTGGATAGTACAGATTTTATTTATTCAGATGCAAACACTAATGAAAATATGAATAATGAAATAAGAAAGCATAAAAACTTACGAAAATAGGACACAATCTCTCACAAACTGAACTGCCAAAAATTTAGAGGCAGCCACACAGTGGTAATTGGTTGGTTGAATTTTTTTTTGGCAGCATGTTAACACCGCTATAGGTTATTTAATGCCGAAATCTAAATATCCCTCATGCAATTTTATGCTTTCAACTACAGATACCTTGTACATAATTTTATACTCTCAAAGTAAAGGTATGTTTTTTTAGCTATATAGTTTCTCGATCATAAAATGTATTGTTGGTAATTTTACTATAAAAATGTATTTTTATAGTTTTTTTTAGTGTTGCATTGTCATCTTGCTATAAAAATCTATTACTAGTCATTTTATTATATAAATGTACCACTGATTTTTGTTTGAGGGTTCACTATTTACCCATAGCTGGGGCCCTAATAGTTGCTAACACTTCAGGTATGGGTGGACCTAAGTAGCTGTTAAGAAATGGTTGCACACTTCAAAACCTCCAA